GGGGGGGGGGGGGGGGGGGGGGATGTGCCGTAACTTGTATAAGGCGGTATGTTATGCTCAAAATTTACCCCCAGTCGCAGATGACAGCTAGGTAGCTAGCAGGATCATGCATCAAATAAGGCGGCCTCTGAGAAGAATGCCATTATGCTTTGAATACAGTATTTGAAAGTACAATTTCAGACTTGCATGACTATATTAAATGCACAACAAAGAAAAAAGATTTGTAGGCCAGGATTTGTGGTATGCACATGCATTTTGAAAACGAGCCTTGTACTATCAGTAGTTTCCATAGTTTAACCACACAAAAATTACAGAAAATGCATTAAAAAAAATACTGCATTATTTACCCATCAAAAAGACCCAATAAGAAACATTTTGACATGTATTTGACATGAATTTTGACATCCAGACCTGAATTGACGCCTGTGAGAATAAACGGCACATACCTTTTTTTGCGAATGTGTACCTCAAATATGTGCGTAGTATGCTAAATAAAAAAAAGTCAAACTAATTAACTTCCTTTGTGAAAAATTGACTTATATCTTAGTATATTGTGAAATAAAATGCGATGAGCTTTCATTTCTGATGTAATAGATTCAGATAGCCTGGACATGAATACCTGCTGCCCATTTACGAGTTGGCTAACTTATGTTCTCCCAAACAAATATAATACTTGAGATCATCGTTTTTCGATTGTTTGTTGGGTAATAGATCGTATCTACAAAACGGTGACTTGCGAGGGCACCGCAGAATTTTCATTACATTTCATGTAGGGCGCCGGAGGAACAGATCCTGCACACTGCACATGTCCCGAGTTTCTGGGAAAGCTTACAGAGCAGGTAAGTAAATTTTGGCTCACTGGAAGCACTCAAGATAACTGAACTGTCCACCAACCGAAATCTGAACATGCATGCTTTTGTGGCTCGGGAACACTTAATTCTTCAGACCTCAGAGCTAATCCAGAATTTTAACACGTTATCGAATACCTCAAGTTACGGAGAATGGTCCGAGTTTCGAGCCATCCTTTCCCATTCAGGGATTCAAAAAAAGCATTGCTGGACAGAAGCATTTCCTTCTGCAACTGGAACGCTGAAAGACAATTGAAAAAAAACAGGACCATTAAAATAGTAAAAAATTTATTACATCAAAACACGTACAAAACAAAAAGTATTTCATGGAAAACATTTTTATGCCATACGTTCCTTTTTGTGTAAGTAGGATAGTCAACGGTTCAAGCAAAGGAGTCTTAGGCATTATATATGACGTTTCCAAAGGCAAAGAACAATCAGAACAATTCAGCACCACTGCAAATCTGAATACATCTCAAATTAACTCGGTGATCTTAATCTCAACGAAATGAAAAATAGATGCTTGAAGAATCCAACTCATGTTAACTTGACACAAACGGAAAACGCACAGAAGAATGTCGTGAAACCTGTTTCATTCAGTGAAGAATTTTTGTTTTATACACAGAGAACGTCGATGAGATGGCGTGACAGCATTCAACCCCATTCAACCTGACGTGATCATTTCTTGAGCGTCGCGCTGGTTTCTCGTTTCACACTTGAGACCCCGTTGCTAACCTCAGTTCTGAACAGCACATTTGCATTGCTGAACATTCCGTCTTTCAGTGAGGCGACGATGAACTACACAGTTCAGAAGACGAAGCGCAAAAGATACATGAACATAATATAGAATGAACAGAATGCGAAAATTCATTTGATCTTCATCTCAACTGACAGTTCGTGCTTTCAAGCGCAAAATAACTGGAGTCTTACTCACCTGAGATTGTTTGAAATGCTGCTTCAGCATCGTTCCGATGTTCTGAGTGTGAGACAAGTCTAATGCCGAGTCGACCTCGTCCAAAATGTACAGTGGGGCAGGTCGAAACAAGAGGATCGCGAGTATCAGCGACAAGAAGGTCAGAGATCGTTGTCCACCACTCAACTCATCCAACGAGTCGAGCCACTTGTTGCCAAGAGCAACTTTCACCTTGACGCAAGAAAAAGTATACGTTTACCAATTCGAAAATTAAACGCGGGCATACATACAAGTTTAATGCTCAGGTAAGTAACTTATCAAAGACTCCACAAATTATAAGGCCGGAAAAACTTCCCTGATCCGCTCTAGTCGTTTTATTCTTTTGTGTATCGTGGATCATATGACGTACATCAAGTTTGCACAAGCATACAAAGCTGTATCGCCTGATAAATACTGTAAGTCACCGAAGACTGCAAACTACGGATCCCTCTATATTTTTCTGGCGAAATGAACCGGCGAGGATTGCGATTAAAATCATGTAACATTCGAAGAAAAAAGCTTCGAAACATTAGCGCATGCCTTCTCACATTTTCACTGGGTTAAATCAGTTTTATAAGTTTTGCATAAATTACAGTATGATGCAATCACAGCCTCGCTGAGGAAAAAATAATCGATGATTTTATGAGTTACCATTTGAAGAGGTACTGTACACACATTTGGATGACTTCATGATTCGAATGTGAGTCTTCAAGACGACTTCAATACCAAAACAGCGCCGTTTTTTCGTGGATGATAATAGCAAAAAGTGCGGTGTATACTGTACAGTGTACACTACTGCTTTTGCATAAATATGGTAGACGAGGAGTGCCGAATATCACAATAATATAAAAGCTTACCTCCAATCCCTTCAGAACTCCCTCTTTTTCTATTTTCACCAGCTTGGCTCGAGCCTTTGGAATGAGAATCGAGAATATTTCATTGAAGGACTTGTCAACAGTTTCGTGGGCATCACGCAGAAGTTTGTTCTTCTGCTGATCCAATTCGTCGATGAATTCTCTGATTTGCTTCTTATTCTGCTCAATAGTTTTTTTCTTCTTCTTGCAAGCCGCCACCTAATAACAAACATTTTACATGATGTAACAACCAGAAGACATATTTTTTAAGCAGGAGTAAAGTACAGACTTTGTCCATGGTTTGGCTCAAAGTTCCGATGGCATTCACGTTAACTATCTTCGACAACGCAGCTTCTTTCTCTTCGTATTCCACGAGTTCCAGCCGGATTTTTTCGGCGGTTCTTGAAGTCAATTCGGTGGAGTTTGGATCAGAACGAACTCTTTCGTAGTCAGCAGGCAGAGATGGACTGTCTTTTTCCAGGCGTTTGATCTGCATAATTAAATATAAATTGGCAATAAACAACTATTTGAAGCATATCCTAAACCAGTGGTGCCCAACTCAGAAGTGGCCAAGGGCCACATTTAAATAATAGAGCATTATGCGGGCCACAAAGGAAAAAGGTACAAGAAATGTTGTACAATATATTGTGTAATTTCTGGGATGGTTGAAACTATTCTACTGTATTTCTTTACACACAAATTCAAATAAGATTTCAGGATTTTCATTGTCTGGCTTTTTTCATCTACAAACTTTTTTGATACAT